ACTGAATCGTAAAAGATTTTTTTTTGATGACTCACTCTCTGATAAAGAAGTCGACATTTTTCTGGTTTTTATTATTTTTTTTTGTGATCATGTTGTTTAAATATAGAATTGAGAAACAAGAAAGTTCAGAAATATGTGTGTCACGAGTTTATTTATTCATCTATTAAGACTCGAGGCATTTAATTTAATTAAAATGAAAATTTCTTACGAGAATTAATTTTTTTTTTCATTTTCTCTTCACGAGCGGATAATTTTTCTATCTCGGGATTTGGATTAGTGCTTGCTCTGTGGGAGTCATTCATTAATGATATACATTAATAATTAGATTTGGATTTGCTATGACTCTAAAGAACCTATCAACACTATTGCTTGATAGTTCGACGTCATTAGTCAACATCCCCTAATTTATTTATTGATAACAGCTACAAAAGCGCTTGATAACGATATTGAAAATGGCAAGGAAACAGTTTTGTAATCAATTTTATGACATTGACCTGGTAAAAGCTTTTTATTTCTGCATTTTTGTCACTGAAATATTTTTTAATCGCGTATAATTTTAATGATTTGTGATAAAAATGAATGGATATCAACAAAAATCAAAAACAATGCCATAAAATCAACTGACGAAATAATTTTGATTCGCATTAATTTGCGAAAATTATAGCAATTTTTATTTTGAGGGTCATTAAGCTAGTCTCTGAGATTTTACAGCCCTAGTCAATTTACAAAAATTGAAATTTATTTCTCTGACCCCAAAATTTCACTTTTCAAACTTTTTTTTAGTCTCGCTCTACTTACAGTAAACCCATCAAAACGATAATAAAGCATTTCATTAGCCACAGATAAAGATAAATTGAAAAATTAATTTGGGAAACGTATTCACATCTGTCATTTTTTCCACACATTATTTTAACAATCTAGAGTTTAACTGCTCATTAAACGGTCACACACAAAAAAAAATAATTACACATTTATGATAAACATCAAGCGTCATTTGAAGGTAATCGCTCGTTATTGTTTGACATGAGACGAATAAATATTATTTTTTGATGATGGAATTTCGAGGTTCTTTCTGAATTTTTTTATCAAAAGTATTCCATTTAATATTTTTTACGTAACTAATCCACTGCCTTATGCTGATGTTATTACGGTTCTCTGTGCAAATCGTTTGAGATGGGCTGGACATGTCTTTAGACGTCCACAAGATTCCCAAGTACTTAGAGTGACTGTTTCAGACTTTATAGATGGCAAGAGGAAGACCAAACAACACCTGAATTGGATGTGTTAATAAGAACGCTAGAGTCTTTGATATCCTGAACTGGCAGAAGGTCTCGAAGGGTAGAGCTGTCTTTAGACGATCTCTGAACGCGGCAATGGGCACACGAGCGCCCCAGCTAAAGAAGTAAGTAAGTAATCTACTGTCTACCACAACTTAACTGCCAACTTTACTATTCTTCAATTTTATCGCAAACAATACCGAATAGCCCAAGTCGTCGAAATCCTTCGTCAAGACCTGTTGTAGGATTTCGTCTCGATTATCCGACTTGTGCTACTTGTGAATGTAAATTTTCCAACTTCAAAGACAAATAAATTAATAAACTTAGCAACAAATTTCAAGCCTAATAATCCTCATATCTATAATATTATATCATAGAGATATCGGTGCCATATCATTACTCCTCTTTCTTTCTGGTGTATGTGTATGTATAAATTTATTGTGACTACAAAAAGTCTACTGTGTCATATTGCCTATAATTTATTAGCTTTATGATGAAAACATGCAATATGATGTGATATTTTTATACTTTATGTGAGCTTATCTATCTTGATTCATGTTAAATAAATCTTATGTCTGTCTATTGAATACAATAAATCTTGTTATTAGTAAATAATGAAGCTGAATGAAGTCCTAGATGATTATTGTAATTTGTCATGAGACTAATTTTGAAGCAATCAAAATCGATGTCCTTTTTGTATAGAATCACATGTTATGGTGATATATAAAGCTCTAGTATAACAAGATAAGCAAACGATTGCAATTCAGTTGATTCATTCAATCCCAAACAACTTTATAAACGTTAAATAACTTCATTTACTTAAAGTATCGATGAATTTCATAACTTAATCTTCTTTCCATTAATTAAATTAATTAACTAGTAATATGAGTGCAGTACGGCATACACAACAGTATTGAAAGTTCTGTGGTTATAGCTTTTAAAAAGACCTTGAGGATATTCATTTCGTTATCGCAAGGTTTTGCATAATTAAGTGTAAATTAAGTTCTTTATCGTGTTGTAACTTACATGATGTGGTGAGGATTATGAAACGTATTAAAATCCAAGCATTGGTTTCACTGCTTTAATTTTCATTAATCTGTAAAGAGAAGAAGTGAAAGGAATTGTTAATGAGTGGAATTAAAAATATAAATGTGTCAATAAAATTTAAATTCCTTTTTATCATAGCCTGAGAGTAGATCCTGTGTCTCATTCATATCCTCCATAGTTTCGCATTATGGTAAATTGAAAAAAAAAAATCCTTTGAATCTAGTTTCAATAGCAAAAGAGAACCAGAATGACAAAGCTTTGACATTTGACAAAAATCATCGCATACAACAATAAACAAACAAGCATCAAATGAATCACACAGAAAACCACTTCCACAATATCCAATCCTTGTCGCAACTTGTGTTCTCTTCAAACGTAAATTTATTCTCATAATTAACAGCAAAGTTTTAATTACAATTTTATAATAAAACTGGAAAGTTGCATAGTTTGTTTGAAATGAAGACTTCCTTAAAGCTTCAATGATTCTCGCTTGTGGATGAATTAGTTAACAACTTAAAACTCATATTTATGATATCTTTAAACTGCGGTTTAAAATATCTAAAAGGTCTCATAGAAATCTGATCCCCAGGTGCAAAATTTTAAATAGACAATTTGAAATGACTAGAAAAATGCAAAATCTGATCTTCTGTCAAGCAATAAAATTCAAATAATTTCCTCAATTCAATGTAATCATCCTTAAGCTCAAGATTTTATCTTATTTGCCACAAATCTTCTAACAGTTGAGACATTCATTCAATGAAGAAGAAGAAAAAGGTTTATTGCTCTTGTTCGCATCATGTGACTCATTATATTCTTTCAAATGACTTTATCGAGCCAAAAATTGCTCTTATTCATCGAAAAATCCAGTTATGGAACTAAGAGGGGTCATTCACTTTTAATGCAGAGCTATTGAGGATGAGCTATCTGCTGGGGGTATAAGAGGTACTGAAAAATCAATTAAGCTACATTTTTTACAAACAGCCCCCTAAAAGCATTTAATTCATCAATTAATCATGTCCTGTAGATGTTTCATTATCATTATTTATGATTCACTGAGTACGAGGGATTTACATGATATTTATGACGGACTTAGATTTTCTTGGCATGATCTCTAAAAGAAGGCTGCATCACAAGACTCAGAAAGCGTTCGACATATTCGTGGGCGAGAATTTAAGACAAGTTTCACAATTTAATGTCATCATGTAGTCATGTGGAAATGTTTGTAAGGAAATTGATCAATTTGCCAGCTTTAAGGCAAATCTGTGATGTTCAAATATTTTAATACACATTCTTGCCATCTTTTTCAAGCACCATTAAAACCTCCACAGTTGCCAAAGGACATTGACTCAACTCAACCAGCAAGAAATATTAAAAAATTCAATCAACAGCTCAGAAAATTCAATTTAAATTTTATATACTTCAATCAATGAGTTCATTGTAGGAAAATTCAATTTGCTTAATTTTTGAAAATTTCATCAATTTTTTTTGCCTTGCACGATTCTGCAGTTGAAACTAATTGACAAGTTCTTTAAAGAGCATCGACACCGACTAGTGCAAGTTGTTTAATTTATTTCAATTTTTATTGGAACAAGTGCTTGTGTTTATAGGTGTGAAGATGGTATGAGTGAGTAAGAATGGTCTTGCATTAATGATGTATATCAAAAAATTGATCCTCAATAGTTTAGTTGATGTCTTCACAATTTTAGAGCCCTAGTTTTTCAACCTAGCTCAATTCTTATGAATATTTTAAGACAGAAAAGAAAAAGGGGCCCAAAAATGTATTCCAAGATAGACGTCACTTGTGGATGACTCAAAAATCATTCATTACACAGCCAAATCATAAAACCCCATATCCATCTGATTCACAAGTTCTAATCTCTCTTTCCAACTTCCATTAACCTCCGAATGATTCATTTCAACACTTATTGTATTTATATTAACTTTACAGGAAAGGCTACATGCTTCTCGTAAATTTCTCTCATGCCAATTACATTTCTACAGCCACTCCACTTATCATTCGAATGCTAATAAATTAAACTAATTTATATTTCAAGTAGCAACTTAAGGTAGAAAAAAAAAACTTCCTGGAAAATTAGCACGAATAAACCAGAAATGCATGAAATTGTGAATGAAGGTCGCGTTGAGCTTCTTATCTTCTTAGACTGTAAATAGGAAGCTTTTAATTTTCTATTTCAGTAAACATGAAATGTCGTTGAGAAGTCTTGAATTTCAATGTATTTGATTTCATAGCTTTGAGATAGAAAAAAATATTTTTTTGTCGGCTTTTTAATTACTTTTGTGAAGTTAGGCTGAATTATTTTTAGGTTAGGAAGGATCTTTTTTGGCCATGTGGGTTCTATTGAGAGATTTAAAATTTCACGTTTTTATTGAAAATCAAATTTTGCAAAAAAAAACTTCATAAAAGTGATCAAATTTCTTAAGAAATAATCTAATTTTAAAAATAGCTTCGGTTTTGTGTTCCATGACACCATTAAATCTCTCTTAGCATTTATCTTGACTCTCAAAATATTTTTTTTTATTTTCATCTGTATTGTGAGAAATGCCTAATAAAATAAATAAAATAAACAAAGCAGAAATCTTTCAACGTAATCTTATCATTTTACTTTCGATATTTTATTTTGCAATAAACACACAAACGATTTATGGACGAGTTACTCATTGCCAAATGTTCTGAGGTCGTAAAAATATTAATTGGCAATTTTCTAGGAATTTTAAAAAATTGTTAAATTGAGTCATTGGTTAATGATGTGTAATAGTAAAGGAGAAGGAAGGACTAGCAAATGCAAAGTCATTTAAATGGTTTTAATCATCGAACTCTTGGATCGGTTGCCCGAATAGCACAAGTCGATTAATCGAATAGAAATCTGGAACCGAGCTGGCATGACTCTGGCATGGTTCTGGCTTCGATTTGAATCCATTTGGTGCCAGATTTCTGATCGATTTACCGACTTGTGCCATTTGGGTTGTGTTGAAAAGGACGCTAGAGTCAGCAATGGCATAAGGTGTCAAACGATAGAACTGTCTTTAAACGTTCTCTAAGCGCCGCAATGGGCCCACGTTCGCCCCAGCTAAGAAAGTAAGTAAGAAATCATTACTAGGTTCTGCTTAGACTTTTTTGTCACTCAATATGATATTTGACTTTAAGAAGGTCTTAAAGAGGTGCTAGTGAACAAAAATGGTAATACTTCGTGCTATTCTGAACATGACTGTGCGTGATTATTTAACCTTAATCAGAATTGCAACACAATAAGTTTTGTTTTTAAGAAGTTTGCTGAATAATCTAAAAATTCATGATTATTTCAATTCTAATACAATTTTACTTCACAATATTTTGATTCATAAAACGGTAAAAATCCACTCGAAACTGCTTACATGTGTATTTACGTCGCAAAAGCAAAACAGCTGATATCCTCGCAACTCATCGACCAATAAATCATTATAAAAGTTATACAAATGACGATATTAGAGCCATAATTTTACATCAAGTTATAATTTTTCTCCCTCATTTGGACTTTAAATGCAGTTTCACTTTTTTTCTATAATTTTCTTTATTACAATCACACATGCAGCCACATTTATGGTTGATTTACTTTAATAATGATTGATTCTTATTTGAAATTTCACTTTTTTTTCACTTTCGTGTCTCGCACAAAAAAAAAGTTCTTAAAATAGTTGCCAATCTCATCTGATTGTGACGACAGTGAACACAAAAAGTTATTCACACTTTACATTAAAAGTACAAAGCTACAGCTGTTTTTTTTTGACCACGCACACACATTTATTTAAGAGATTGCAGAATTATTGTATTAAAAAATAATATGTTTATCGCCATAAAAACGCGCAGTAACTGACGAAGAAAAAAAATTTTTTCTCAACTACAAAAAAATATTGAGTAGTCGGAGAATTTGGCTGAGCGTGTACATGAGAAAGTTGTGTGTAGATTGTAGTTTCGTATACAAAATACAAAATATGAGAAAGAAAAAAAAATTATCGAGTGCAATGCTTAAGAAAAATAAGAGGCATTCAGTTAGCTTTTTCTTGTGAATTGTTCGAAGAATTTGTTGGAATTGAAATGATTTAATCTGTGACTGTCTTGGATTGCGCATTGATTGCACTATCGTAGCAATAAAAGCAGATTTCATCAAAACCTGAGGTACATTGGTTTTAGGCTGACTCAACTTGCAACAAAGTTATATAAAGTAAGTGGTGGCATAGTGCCAACATCACATGGATGCCTGAAAGTCATGTTCTCTGTAGAATGCAAGTGTCATACCGATAAAAGTAGCTGTATATCTACAAAGGGTACCCAGTAATAACGCCGACACGGAATAACTGCACCTATTAAAAAAAACACGGTACCGGAATAATATCGAAAATATTTTTTGCTCAGGTCGGTAATAACTTCACCTGTATAATGTAGGTGAAGTTATTCCGGCGTCGCGACGGAATAATTTCACCTACTTAATATAAGTGAAGTTATTACCGCTTCATACCGGAATAACTTCACCTACATAATATAGGTGAAGTTATTCCGTCGCGGCGGCGGAATGATGCCGAAAAATATTGTATGTCGACTTTATTCCGTCACTGTGCAGGAATAACTTCACCTATATTTATATATATTAATGTGATAAATTTCTGAATTATCACGCTTTCCAGAAACTATAGAAAAATCCATTTTTAATTAAATTTCACACAATATAAAAGATCAACAAAAAAAATTAACTGAACGAACTAAGTCAAATTTGTTGTCAATTGTGTTCAAACAATAAACTTAAGCCATTGAACATCAAGAATGACACGAAATAATCTTAATGTGCTGCATACCATGTTTGTTTTTTTTTGCGAAAAAAGGGAGCATTAAAGTAGTTAAAATTTTGGTGATGTAAATTTTGGTGATTATCATTCAACGGAAACTTTAAAAATGAAGTGTTTCAAAAATGCAATTTAACTAAGCTAAAACTTTATGAAAATCAGAAAGACATATTCATTTACTTCTATATTTTTACAAACAACGTTTCAATATAAGAAATTGTTGTTAATTAAAGTAAGGAGACATAAATTTTCATCAGAAGAATTGATTTTTCTTCTCAAACTTACATTAAACTCACTCTAATTATCAATTAGGATGATAAAATGAGTTATTTTCTATAGAATCTGTTGCATAGGATAGACAGAATAATTCTGCAGAATTCTGCTCAACAGTTGCGCAACAATTCAATGTTGCGTGACATGGATGTAACAAAACCAGAATAATTCTGAAGAACTTATTTTTATTCTGCAGAATTTTTCTGCTAAATTTTTTTCAGAATTTCACAAAACAAATCAGAAACATTTTTTTCCAAATTCTCCATAATTAAAATTTCTGATAAACAACTTTATGAGAATGTGATTAAAAACACAATTACAAATTAATATGGAAATTAAAATAGGAGTACAACATTTTTCAGAGTTCTGAACACAATTCAATTCAATTTCAATTTATTCATGTTAAATTGTGCAACAGTGTGCAACCTTTAAGCGCTACACTTTTATTTTTAACATTAATTGTTGTATAATAAGAAAATCATAGTAAACATGATATGAAATCCAGTTAATAAACATATCTCAAAGATATAACATTAATAATTCTTAAATCTTTATTATGTACGCTAGCTCAGTGTTTAGCGCATAATCTTCACTAAGCAGTTGTGTGTCTAGTACCCAATTAAAAACTGTTATAGATCTTTACAGCTCTCGTATCTTCCTCATTCTGTCTACATAATTCTTGACTCATTTCCACATCTCACATTGCCTAATTCTTAGTTTTACGTCTTAAACTGCTGCACCTAAGAAGCCGAAGTATCTAAACTTCTGAAAATCACTAGGCTGGTGATGGGATTTGAATCCGAGAGTGCAAATTCGACTCGAAATTTTGTGACCTGTACCTTGCCAATTGAGCAATAAAAATCTAGTAACTTTACTTTTAAAAATAATCGTGTCGAATTCGATCTCGAAAATTGAATATTCAAAAATTTCATCAAATTTTATACGCTTTTGTATATAATCTTCAATTGAAGTTTTAATAATGAATAATTTTTTGGAACTATTCAAGGCTTTAAACCAGAGGAGCGAAAGGAAAATATTGGCAAAGTCAAAAACAATTCCTTATCAATTCTGTTTCAAACTTAGTGAAACACTGAAAAATGTTGTACTCCTATTTTAATTTCCATATTAATTTGTAATTGTGGAAAAACAAAGTCTTTAATCACATTCTCATAAAGTTATTCATCAGAACTTTTAATTATGCAGAATTTGGAAAAAATGCTTCTGATTTGTTTTGTGAAATTCTGAAAAAAAAAATTCAACAGAATAATTCTGCAAAATAAAAATAAGTTCTTCAGAATTAATCTTCAGAATTATTATGTTGTTCTCAGAATTATTCTGCAGAATTTATCAGAATAATTCTGCAGAATTGTTGCGAAACTGTTGAGCAGAATTCTGCAGAATTATTCTGTCTATCCTATGCAACACACCCTTATCTATCATTTGATATGCATGTGATGAAACAAAAAGTTTGTTGAATGAAATTTCGATTTTTTGCTGAAATTTTTTAAAAAGTCATCCAAAGAATTGCCCATTGCCCTTTTGCTTTGCTTTTGTTCAGAAAGCAAGCAATAGCATCCAAATTTTATCGTTTTACATAAGTATATTAAGTCTCTGGAACGTTTAAATTGCTGAAAATTGAGAAAAATTATTTCAAAAACGAGATTGCCCATTTGTAAATTTCAAATTGTATTACGAATTCACTGCCACATCTATATAAATATAGGTGAAGTTATTCCTGCACAGTGACGGAATAAAGTCGACATACAATATTTTTCGGCATCATTCCGCCGCCGCGACGGAATAACTTCACCTATATTATGTAGGTGAAGTTATTCCGGTATGAAGCGGTAATAACTTCACTTATATTAAGTAGGTGAAATTATTCCGTCGCGACGCCGGAATAACTTCACCTACATTATACAGGTGAAGTTATTACCGACCTGAGCAAAAAATATTTTCGATATTATTCCGGTTTGATGTTGTGGAGTTATTCCGTGTCGGCGTTATTACTGGGTATCTATCATATATTCGAAAATATGAGAACTAGTGCCGGTTTCTAAAGCTACTGAAGGCTTTATAGTTTAGAACAAAAAACCAATAAGCTGCAATTGGATGTTTAAATACAATTTAAAGGTCTAAGGCATTAGGTTGCTTTGAATAGCTCTATATATTAGCTTCTGATTGATTAGATTTACAAAATCTTGAGGCTCTACAAAGTGTGCCACTTTTATATCAAAAAATCCTTCAAAAATTCCGAATAAATCCCCCAAAAATGCGCTCAATTCACAAAAAAGTCAAAATGTCTCTCAAACTTATTTTCTCTTCCAATCTTTAACTTCTTTCAAGTTTCCTCTCATTTCTACTTACGATGAGAAAATAAAACAGTAAAATAAAACTTTGTTGTTTACGTACAGTTGGAACTCTTTGAAATTCATTTTAACTTCTATTTGCATTATGACTTTTTGATTTACTTGCTGGTTAAGATGACGATGAGAAAAAATGTGAGAAAAATTATGTAACGATAAAATGATGAAGTTTACGACAAAAATGAAAAATTTTGAAACATTATAGACTTTAATAAGTTTACTAATTAATGGTTGCTATGATGAAATGAGCACTTGAATGAGTAGTTTTTGAGTAATCTAATTAAAATGCTGGTTGATTGTTATTGAGTGCTGTCAGAACTTTTTAATTGAGGGTTTGTTGGATGTGCTATTGTTTGAAATATTTTAGTAATGATTACCAAGTACAATGGTGCATTCAAGTTGTTTGGGTTCGAGTTGGGAATCAAATGAAGCTAGCAACAAGACACCGACAAAGAATAAGACCCGATACTCTGTTACACATTAAACTACTTCTAAGAAATTAAAGACATAAAGGTTGATAATATACAGAGGAGTGTCTTCATAACTCTCATTCCTAATGGGTTCATTTATATTAATTTAATCTCATCAATCGATGGCCTTGTCGTGTTAAATAAATTAAATTTTACAAATAATCTCTAGAGAAAAATCAGTTCAGCGTGATATGAAAGGGAGAAGAAATAAACTTTT